AACTTAAAGGGAATGCATTCGGTTTTGCTTTTCGCAACGAGACCGGGGAAACCGAAGCTGAATTCTTCCATGAGTTGTTTGAATCTTCATGGATTGTGTTGGATGCAGGTGTTGTTAATGCTTCATGGTCAAACTAATTGAAAAGCTTTGATGAAAAGCTTTCAATGGTAGGGTAGTTGTAACTTTTCTTTTTCAAAATGAAAACATTTGTTCATTACTTTTAAGCAATTTTTAGCTTGTTTGAAATACATATTAAAAAAAGGATAAATTGTGCATTTAGTACCTAAATTATCAGTTTTGGTTCGTTTTAATACCTAAACTTTCAATTTTTTAAAACCGTGCTTAATGTTTAGTTTTTTTTTTATTTTAGTACACGTTAAAAAACTTAACGCGTTTAGTACTTAAACTATCAATTTTTGTTTGTTTTAGTACTTGAACTTTTAATTTTTTTTTCCAAAATTTAACGTTAAATTTTGAAACAGAGATATTAAAATCAAACAAAAACTAAAGTTCAAATATGATTTTGGAAAAAATAAAAGTTTAGGTACTAAAACGGATCAAAATTGATAATAGATATTAAATGTGTAATTTACCTTAAAAATCTAAGGAGTTTACAATACGGTATCGATTCAAAAGATTTTAACTATTTAACAATGAATGTTTAGATGACGTTACAAAATAATGTGTGAACTTTTAAATTATAAACAACAATAATTTCTTTAACCATTAAGATGACTTATTTTATATAATTTACTAAACTATTACCAATTCTAAATTACATTTTTATTTATTTTTTAAATTTAGTCATTTCACCTCGGTTCACTCTTTATTTTTGTTTTAAATATAATCGTTTCACATCAGTCCACTCTTTATTTAATTAATATTGTTTAAATAATAGGGTTAACTACATCGATGGTCATTTATGTTTGTATTTTGTCCACTTTTGGTCACTAATTTCAAAAAACATAGGATATGGTTAATTTCGTTTGTATTTAATTAAGATATGGACACCCCGAGTTAATTGTTGTTAACAACATTTAAATATTTTGATATAATCACACATTCGATCCCTGTTATTTATATATTCTCTCAATTTAATCTTACTTTTAATAAATTAAAAATAAATTTAATCCTCCAATCGAATGATGTTACATGTCATGCCACGTGTCACTATTCGGTTGGAGGACTAACTTTATTTTAATTTAATATTTACTTTCACGAATCAAAGAGTGACATGTGTCACCCACTGGTTGAGAGAAAATAAAGGAAAACAAATTGGGGCAAAAAGATTCAAACCTTGGTCACTTAAGAAACTAAACATGTATCCAACTATTAAGCCAATACCATTGCTCAGTCTAAAGTACACAACGTGGTGTATATATTTTGTGTCTTGGCGTATGATACTTAAATTTATAATATGTATATATATATTAACTTAAAAATATCTTTTATATTAACTTATTAAATATATTTATTATTAACTTAATTTAAAAATATTTTTATTTTCATTTAAAAATATATATTTTATGTTAAAATTTATTTAAAAGTATGATTAAATTGAGAGAATATGTAAATAATAGGGATCAAATGTGTGATTATACAAACTAGCACGTCATATATTCTATTAATTGTTAACATCAGTTAACCTGTAATGACTACATCTTAATTAAATAAAAACGAAAGTGATCATATATTAATTAAACAAAAACGATAGATATTATATTTTATTTTTTTTGAAATCAATGATAAAAAATAGACAAAACACAAACATAAGTAATTATTCATGTATTTAACCCTAAATAATATTATGGGTAAAGTATAATAATGGTCACTGAACGTTTCAAAAGCTTTCATTTAGATCCCTCAACTTTTAAAACTTATAATACAGTCCCCCAACATTTAGTCTATTTGCAATATAGTCCCCGACGTTACACTACCGTTAGTACATTTGCAATATGATCACTGAACTTTTTAGGCGCTTGCATTTAGGCCCCCAACTTTTAAAACTTGCAACATAGTCATCAATTTAATTCTAAACCCCAAATTCCTTTTCATTCTCGAATTTCCTTTTTCGCTTCTCTCTTCTCATTTCTTGTGTAACTTTTCAGTCGTGAATGCATGGGAAATTCTAATCTAACTTTGAATTATGTGGAGACGTTGACTTGAATAGGGGTCCATTGAGAGGAGACCCGACCAAGGGACTATCGGGACCATCAACGATTCAAGGTGTAATGTTAGATACAGGTCATCTCAGGTGAAGCATAGATGTTCGATGAAATGATTGTGAGAAAAAAATTGGGTTAGAAATGTAGAGTTGACAAATACTACTAAGATGAAATAAGTATCATTGTTGAAAATCACCAACAAAGCTGAAATTATTTTGTATAAATGACATATAATAATTTATTCGTTTAATCCTTGTGGTTAAAGATTTTCCAAAAGATGATCAAATATAATGAAATTCCAAACAGCTCATTCACCTCTCAATCTCTTTCGCTCACATGCACTCCCGTTTGGTTTTTGTTCTTCAATTTTCTACTATGTAAATTGTAAACCCAAGCAGTGCTCTGTCTTTCAGCTTTTTATTTACAAAGAAAAAATGGAGGAAGAATTGTTGGAACGCAACACCGATTGCGTTTATTTTTTAGCCTCTCCCCTCACTTGCAAGAAGGTATTTATTTTCTCTTTTGGGTTATCCGGAAGTAAGCTTTTCCTCATTTGTACTTTCCCATTTTAAACTCGAATTGTGTGTGTTTTTTTTTTCTTTCTTCTTAATCAAAACTTTTAGTACTCCTTACGAAAGATATTCAATCCATCCGAATAGAAGTGAAATAGGGTCCTATGCTAATTTTTTTTTTATATTCTTGTTTGGTTTTTCTTTAAATCAGGGAATTGGTTGTGAGTATCGACATAGTGAAATCGCCAGGCTCAATCCAAGATATTGCTGGTACTAGTTTACTGAGAATTGTATTGATATGACCTATGGTTTTATGTGTCATGTGAGCTCGTATTCTTTTTAAAAAGTTCATGTTGATTATGGGACTGATATATCGTGAACGAATTGGATTTTTTTACATGTTTTGGAAATTTTACAGTTGAATTGTATTGAATTATAGTTTTAGAAGAAAATTCTACATGCACGTAACTTGAAAGACATCATGACAGGGTAATATATTTGGAGCAGCTACTTGACCCTGTCATGATGCCTTTCGAGTTACGAAAGAGACTGAGAGGTGAATGTGTTGTTTGGGATTTCATTATATTTGATCATCTGTTGGAAAATCTTTAACCACAAGGATTAACGAGAAATTATTATATGTCATTTATACAAATAATTCCAGCTTGTTGGTGACTTTCAACGATGATACTTAGTTCATCTTAGTAGTATTTTTCAACTCTGCATTTCTAACAAAACTTAGTTACGCTGGAAATTAGAAGAGAAATGAAAAAGGAAATTCGATATCAAAAAGGAATTTAGGGTTTAGAATGAAATTAAGGAATGTGTTGCAAGTTTTAAAAGTTTGGGGACCTAAATGCAAGCATCTGAAAAGTTTAGTGACCATATTGCAAACGTACTAACGGCATTGTAACGTCAGGGACCATAATGCAAATGGACTAAATGTTGAGGGGACTATATTGTAACTTTTAAAGGTTGGGAGACCTAAATGAAAACTTTAGAAAAGTTCAGTGACCATTACTATACTTTACCCTAATATTATATAGAGTATAATATAAATTACAAATCATAATTAATTTCAATGATAAATATTAAATTTATTATACCATTATTTCTTTGGTTATCTATTAATTAGAGTTTTTAGGGTAAGCTATTAAATCAATTAAAAATATATGATATTATCATATAATATATTAAAAAATACCAATTATACAAAAACCTTCCATAGAAACAAATAATAATTTAGTTTATTTTTTAAAGAAAACATAGTACTAAATAACTACTAATAATTTAAGTTCAAACATGAGAGAACTCAAACCCCATGTCTCCTCCATCTGTGCGTTGCGGTTACTCTCAAATTTATTTGATTAAAAACCCTTAACAGGTAAGACTTTCAGAAGGTTTCTGGGACTCGCTTGTGTTCTTCGGTTTTCGGTTTCGGTTTTTATTATTATTCTGTCTGGAAATTTTTAAAGCGATTGGATTTGGAGGTAAGATTTTGATATCTCAACACTCTATAATTCTCTGATCAATTTGTTTTTTAGTTCAATTCTCTTTATGAAGTATCGGCGTTACGGTTATTTCTGGGAAATTTAAAAGGATACATTGGCCTGTTCGATAAATTTCTCAAATTGAATTTGTTATTCGATTATTAGTTGATTATACTTCATAGTTGTTTTGTTTTGGCTATCGTTCGAGTGTTATTTTTTATTAAATTTATCCCCTTTCTAGAATAATAGTTTGTGTGTCAAGTGCTTGCTATTATCCTGTAGTTTTTCATAAATTTAAAATCCGACTGGAAAGATGAAATAAATAGTTGTCACTCGTTTGTGAATTGTGAGATATATATATCTACACACATATATTTTGCTAAAATATCTCTCCTTCACCTTGGAGGTGTTACTACCCTTATTGAACTGAATACTGATTGTGTTTAGTGAATCTTGATATTATATATGGTGAAAGAATCTGAGAAGGTTGTTTTTTTAGCTGCTTTTAGGTTTTATTGAGGCTGTGATATTTAGGCAGTGAAGAGAAAATTATTAGCAGACATGAACGCTATTGAAACGAGGGGACCTTCTCTCACAGGGTATCAACATAGGAAGATAATGTGGATCTAAATGTTCCTCCCTGTGATATTAGAGAACAGGCTGACCTCGAGGAAGTGGTCAGCTATTCGATAGAGCCTGTGCTACTGATATCATTGATGTTGAAGCTGTTGAAGATGATGTAATTGAATCTTCTGCTACAGAATTTGCAGAGGTTTGCTTCTCTTGTTCAATATTTTTTTTTCTTCTCTTTAACTGTATGTGACATCTGTTTTATGGATTCGTTTCAATCATGGGTGTTAATAATTCTAGGCTTAGAACAGGCTGACCTCGAGGAAGTGGTCAGCTATTCGATAGAGCCTGTGCTACCTGATATCATTGATGTTGAAGCTGTTGAAGATGATGTAATTGAATCTTCTGCTACAGAATTTGCAGAGGTTTGCTTCTCTTGTTCAATATTTTTTTTTCTTCTCTTTAACTGTATGTGACATCTGTTTTTATGGATTCGTTTCAATCATGGGTGTTACTAATTCCTAGGATTTTATGTCAGGCTAAAAATAATTCTAGGAGGAGCAGAAGGATCGTTGTTGACATAGATTCAGGTAGTTCAATTTATGAGGGAAGAATGTTTATAATATTTCCATTGTGTTGCAGAAGAATGATGTTATGCTGGTTGCTTAACAAAATCTTGTTTTGATGCACCATTGCACCTTGCAAATTCAGTCTATTTATCTGCATGGGGTCAAAATATTTCTTGTTAATTTCAAGCAGTATGATAAGAAAAAATATATGACCTTAACTGAGGTAGATGCTATTGCTTGGCAACATTTTGGTCCATTCCAATCTTATGTTATGTGATTGCCCAGGTCAACCAGTTTAGAGAATGCTGGTTCTTTGTTTCATTCATTTATCAAACCCTAGATTACTCTCTGAAGTTGATGTATCTCACTTCTCTCTCCTTCCAGGGTGTCCGGCTAGGTCAACTACTAATAATCAGAACAAACGTAGAAGACTTAATCCGAGCCAAACAGTTATCAATTGTGATCATTACATTAATTTGGAAAGCACACCACAGTCTATTGTAAGAGCTCTTGCATCTGTTCATTATTAGAAAGATGTAATCTAATATTTTCAAGGAAATCTACAAGTTTGGCTGGTTATCTAGGACATTGTGATTGGAGATCTCTTTTTATTTTTGTCCATGCCTGTGTTCTCACAGTGATGCATGGGTTAAGGAAATTTTAATTCTCATTAACTATTCTGTCGGCAGGTCAAGGAAATCATAAAGCCGCAACCACCCCCACAGAAACCAACCTTCAACTGTCCAATTTGCATGGGTTCATTCACTGAGGAGATGTCAACAAGGTGTGGGCACATATTCTGCAAGGCATGCATTAAAACTGCATTAGCTGTGCGGCGCAAATGCCCAACTTGCAGAAAAAGGGTCGTCGTGAAGGAACTAATCAGGGTCTTCCTTCCATCAGCTAGTTAAATATGAGCTCTATGCCCAACTAGTAAGTAAGTTAATGTTCTATATCTTTATTTATAGTTAAATTTCAATTAGTGAAAGAGAATGAATCATAGGTTATAAAGTGAATTATGTTTGAACAATGGATACTCCATTGTGGAAGACGTGGAGCTTGGTGATTTTCCTTGTAGTCTTTTGATATATGGCAGCTTTGTCAATGCTATTTTTTGTTCTTTTAAATGATGTTCTTATGATGATTGCTTTATTTCAGGGATAATTCAAATTGCCCTTGAATGGAGTTGGCATGTCAATGGAACAAAACTTTGAAGGGAAATGTTACTAGTGCCTTTTGGTACATGCCCTAACAGCAAAAAGAAGAAAATATCAAAATTCAATAAGCCTAACTAGTGCCTATAGGCACTGCTTAAGCAAATCCTTCTTTGAATATTGGAATATTTTACATGTTTTGAACTCTGTTTGAGCAGATAATCTATTTGATTAGTTATCTAAGCAGTTTTTTTTTAATTCCCCTAAGCCCGAATCTTCATACGGTATCGATACTCAAATGGTTGCCATTGATACTACAGTTTTAAAATGACGAGTATTGTTCTCTTAATATGCTTGAGTATCGATACTGTCATTTGGGTAAAATATCACGGCTAAAATTTTTGTGATTTCCCAAGTCAGTAGCATATTTGGTATTGCTACCAATACTTGAACTTTGAATATCTATTCCAGGTATGAAAAGCTACCTTGAACCATAAGTTATCAACACTTGACTTGCTTGATAAGTAATATAGTTTAAGTGATTCAAACTGGTTATAATCTATTGGTAAGTTATTATGTCTTGATTGTGCCACTAAGGACCTGATATTATTATAATTATCATATTGCATCAGACTTCCTAATTAGTTTATTTAGGCTCTGATTAATCAAACAATTGAAGGTTGTTGCTCTGGCGATTATGCAAGTTGGATATCTGGTGAATCTGAAAATTTGTTTAGTGCAAAATCACTATACTGGATATCAATCCCCCTAATATACACACTTCATGCCCGTTTACAATGAAACATGTAACAGCATAAACCATCCCCTTTCTAATTGGTTTATTAGGCAATAACCGCTCTGATAATGCAGAGTCTTCATCTATGCATAGAAGATGTCAAAGCTACTTACCAGAATTGTGCCTGAAAATGCAATTGGATAAGCAATGTGGTTACTTGGATCAATGATGAGAACAACATGGCATGGTGGCTGAATGTTTTTTCCCCTTCTTGAATGTCTGCACGGTGTCTCAACAAATTACTTTGCAGTAAATGCAGATAATGAAAGAAATTTTGGTATACATATATTTGTTGATGGCCTTTTAGCATCATTAAAACATCCATCTCGGGAATGAATGACCGATGCTTTGGCGTTGTTTGGTTGGGGCTGCTCTGAGTTGTTTCGTTTCGTCCTGAATAGGAGGCCGTAGGGCTGTAGTAGTCGTTACTTTGAGAAGTTGCCCTTGTGAGTAAGTCTTTTTCCATGAATAAAGTTCCTCTGCTTTTCTAGCAATGCCCTGCAAGCCGACGGGTTTCTTTGAGCAGTTCCCATCTTGTGTAACCCCACAACTTTGGCTCCTTCCAACCTGCTGAATTTCCCTTCTCTCGGACTTGTGTAGTTTCGACTCTCGGCAGTCTCGGCAGAGTACATGATCTCCCCCTCACTGCTGTACCCATTACATCTCGGGATGTTCTACTGGAGATGAACTAGATTGGACCTCACTTTGGCCCCGTTTACAGATGCCATTGAGCCAACATCAGCATCCTCACTGGGACTTGCATGTAGTCTATTCTTGATTTGATCTTCTTCTCTCAGTTGGCTTTCTGAAGGAACTCCTTCAAATCATTCTCACCTGAATTTGGAAGCTCTTGTTGGCAGGCAGCGAAACTACAGCAGTTTTCACAACCCTGGGGAAATTTACATCCAAAAGTTGGATTTGGCTGGTCTCTTTCTTCCTAAGAAGGACGAGATCAACTTTGGCGATTCATATATTTCAGGAGTTGGGATTCCTTGTACATGCACAGCATGTGGATCAGAACATGGCGTCTCTTCTTCATGAGTGATCACTCCAGCAGAATGCTTGGTTCTGGTGATCCTTACCTTTTGTGATTATATTTGACGAAGATGGAATTTTGTCATTATCATCTCTGGTTGATTTACAGACCTGGCGCATTGTGAAGGATGCAGAAGTATGCTCACTCTTCTGCTCCGAAGCATCAACCTAATAATTGGTAGCTTGGGTTTGGTAACTTCATCAAGACTATCTTCCCAATGCTGGTTAACCAATCACAAATGACGGAATGGGAATACCGAACCACGTAAGAGTATCTTTTACACGATGATGATGATGAAGAAGTCATGGACGACTTGGTATTAGGAGAGGTTGCTAGCTTCATAGGATCACAGATCATAAATGCAAGGTTCCCATGCGAATCAAATCCGGCTGAGCCAGGGTTCCAAATTATTCCATAAGTTGAAAGTTTTATGAGATTGTCTGTGGCATCACCACCTTCCCTTCACCTACTGTTACTTCTTGTTTCTCGGTGTAACCTAGAAGGTAAACAGCACTTCCTAGATATAAATTTGGTTTAGACGTCTTAAAGTAATGAGGTTGGTGCCCCTGGATATTGATTCTCCATCCAGGGCATCTAAGCCCACTATTGTTAGATCTAAAACAGAGCTGGTAATGAAAAACCTGCATAAGAATGAAGACCATGAGTTAATTTGGGGTGTTGCTAATAAAATTAGAAATATTTCAGGAGATCTGCATCTGTTCTTCTTAGCCCGTGCACAACATCAGTAATCACAGGAGGAACATCAATCAAGCAACTATTAAACCACAAATGGGGCCAACCTAGAGAACAACCTGAACTACATCCACTGGCTACAGCAAGTCGATTAAACAGCAGGGATCAGACTATTTTTCCAACTTCTAATCGAATATCAAGGGTTTACACCGGCTCCGCGACTGTGAATGAACTACCAGGTCATCACCAATAGCCACCTATACTTTATGACTTCCAAAGGGAAGAACTTGCCTCCAATGAAGGGGCATGGGGTTAAAAGGCAAGAAAGCATGTTGCAAAGGAAGTATTACAGTGTTAGGGTTGCATCAAGAGTTAGGTTGAGAGATAGAAGAACTTCCCACTTCAATTATTTATTGATGAGTAATACTCATAGTCACGAGATGAGGCATATCCGCAATTCGGCCCGTACATTGCACCATAATCAACTTCATACATGTGTGCAGGAGGGTCAGTTTGTGCCACATTTCCTGGAACTTCATTATCATCATCGGAGTTGAATTGCGGTGATTCTGGTCAATGAACCGTCCAGTCTCAGGACCATCCGCACCAGGCTCACGAAGCGGTTCTTCTGGTGGAGATGATGGTTCCTCCATGCTCTCCACATTTAGGTCAAAGAACCTACTACTTGCACGCCTTCCCCTTGATCTGGAAGGCATATCGACATTGAGATCGAAAAAGCTCACAGTCGAATGCCTCCCCCTAGAGCTTGAAGCCATCGCGTCAAATAGAAAATGCACAGATGATTGCGTCGATGGCATCTCCATATTAAGGTCAAAGGGATTTGCAGATGATGTCTTCCCCTTGAACTGGACGCAATGTTGCCATACGGATTGTTCGTCGACCTACTTTGGTACATATCGTAAGGAGTTGCGGATGAATGTCTCCCATTATGGCATTAAAATCATACACATTACTGTCGGGCTGTCAACTTGATCAACTTGTTCAGTCAGCCCATAGTGGGAGCTTAATGATTGACCCGAACAACACACACTGAACAAAAGTGCATACATCTCAATAGCGGCGTCTGAATAATTACTTTGCTTCAACCATCATTTCAACATCATCATTATTCGAAGTTCGAACGCTGTATAAGTTAATGGCAACAATGATGTGGGAAATCTATACTGCAACGACGACACTCTTCTACTACTTCCAACATGAATATTCCTCGAAATCTTCGTTATAAGCTCCTCAAGAGTTATGTTTCTCTTGAATGATATTTTAACACGCTCATTTGATACGAAAACAACGTCGGTTTCATCTTCTCGAAATTCACCATCATAATAAACAATAGCTGAAAGTCGCGTCATTATTTGAGTTTAAAAGTGCGGCACTATTCTATCTAAAAAAATGAAACAAACCTGATTTAATAAATTTATATGAACGAACATATAACACAATAAATTTTTTACACATCAACGAAAATAAATTAAATAATATAATTTAATATTATTACCTGCACCGTAAAACTTTTTGACGTATGCTCCCGCTTTCCAATTTTACAAACACAAATTTAATGAAAATTTAGTATAATATTTTTTCAAATAATCATAATAAACAATAAATAAATAAAATTATAACAAAATTACTTTATAACGAAAATCGCAAGAATTTCTAAATAAAATATGAGAAGATTGTCAAAATTATTGACTCGTTAACGGAATTGTTGTATTAATTTATAAGTTGAAGGAGAGATGTGAGAAATTAACCGACGGAGAATGGTATTTATAGCGAGAAAGTTTATACAAAACGAGATACTGCCCGCGCTATATAAAATTATTAGGGTAAAGGTATAGCGCGGTACCTGATCCGTGCTATACCCCTACGTGGCGTATAGCGCGCTGCAGGGGCCGCGCTATTTTCGATTGTAAACCAGAGCAATTGAGGGAAATTACCTGTGAGGAACGAGAGTGGCAGCAACCTCGTTTTGGAGCCGGATCTCGGAGCTCTCCGCAGCAGCTACAGAAGGGAGGTTAACTCGGGTAGTTAATAGAAGATTCCGGTGGATAAGGAATCCGGTAACTGGGATTCCATCACCAGAGGCGCTGTTAATTCTGGCCATTGCCGGAGCTTTACTAGAGAAAATGGTACCCTTCAATCTTTCTGACTTGCTCACTCCTTTGCAGAAACACCATGACTTTCTTAAACCACCCATGTTTCTCTTTTTTCCCTCTTTCTTTTAAATTATCAATGCTTCAACGAGTCGAGAGAAATGGGGTTTGGGTGGTTGTTTTATCAAAGGGCTGGATCTGGAGAGAGTGGCATTGAACTATTCAAGGTGTCGGTGTAGAAAAAGTACTGGAATGCAAAGTGTTTGAAAGTATGCTTCAGTGAGAACAAAAATGGGGAAAATAAAGAGAGCGGGAGAAAGGGGGGGGACGAGATGGTCGTGAAATGAGTAAAGGGCCGTATGGGATGTGGAGGGGTGTCTTTTTGAGCCGGAACCAGATGATCGTGAAATGAGTAAATGGCCGAATGGGATATGGAGGGATGTCTTTCTGAGCAGGAATCTGGCTTTATTGAAAGTGTAAATTACAAATTTGATAACTCAATTTTACTCTTTATTATACTTTAAATCTTTTTAATCTCTCTGATAAATTTAATACATTTGATTTTCTCGGGTTTTCAGTTGTTTTTCATTAATGATATTATAAA